AGATCCTCTGGCGGCCCGGGGGCCCCTCCTCGCCTCGCCGGGGGTCTCCAGGGACGGACCTGGCGGTGGAAATAATGAGATTAAATAATGGGATTAGCGATGGGGGTGGCACGGGGGTGTGGGAATGCTCCTGCCCAGCCCAGCAGTATCAGCTAGCCCGGCAGTTGGGACTTCAAAGTCTGTACAGCTGGCAGCAACAGGCGGTTTCCAGGTTTATGGAACATGCAGGGAAGCTCTTCTTGCTCCTTGTTAAATTTCTGTACCTATCTAGAACTTGTTTGGGTTTCGGCATTCAGTAAATTCGTCTTGTGGCAAGGGGTTACGTGCGTTGCGTGAGTGTTGTGACAAGGGTAGATCGGAAGGTACTCCCCATCTTTTGGAAAAGTGCAAAGTCATTAGGTGCTTTTCGTGTCACACTTTGTAGGTATTGCTGCTTTCCACATCCAGATTTCTTTTGCAAAATCTGCTTGCTTTTTTTTTTTTTTGTGTGTGTGTGTTTATTTGCACTTATTGCTGAGGTTATTGGCTGCTTTAATTTTTAGTTTGGTCTCAGTTAGAAATGGTGAAAAGCATCCAAATTGCTGCTATCTGGTAGACAACAAGTTTAGTTTATTCTGTAATATTATCTGAGCTGATGCAAAATAAGTCTCTGATCTGTTCCCTCCTGTTAATTATACAGTTTGGGAATAGATGTGTTGTCTTTTGTTAGACCGATTATTGCAGCTTTGAAAAATACATGGTTTTCCAGGCCGGTTTTCAGTTCTGAAACAGGAGCATGGTAAGTCTCAAAGCTAAGTATAAGTTGAGGAAAAAATTGCTTAGAGTTTAATTTCATTATATATAATTGATTTCTGAAGCAACAGAATAGTAGCGGTTCTCTACTAGGTAGAGAATATTAGGAAAGGAAGGGAAAAGAATGACAAAATGGTCCAGAGAGGAGAGACAGGTAGCCAACCTCTACAGCCCACTGTAAAAGCACTGTGAGAGATGAGAACTGTATTTTTTTGAGTCTGGTGGGGTTTATGTCCTCAGTGGAGTGCTGTGTTCTAGTTTGGTCTCTGCTTTGAGAAATGTTTTGTTCGTTTCCGTCTGCGAATCTGACCTGAGAGATGTGAGGCATTGCTCGGTGAGAAGCGGTTCCCCAGTGGTAGCTCGGTGCTTTGCCTCTTTTGCCGGTTGCCAGCGCGAGCTCGTTCTGGTTTGTAGGGGTTGCCGTCCTTCACCTACAGAGTTAACCGTAAGAGCATTTGATGTGCTTTCCAGAATTTCATATACTTCCGTAACTATAAATAGAGGATCCAGAGGTTTTTGGTAGCTCTTGAGAGGAGTAGTGCGAATATCGGGGGATGTGAGCCTGCAAAATCATTCGACTGTGCAGAGGAGAACCTGAATCTGCTCTCAGACTTCTACTAGAAATATTGGAAGTGATGTAAAAGATGGTCACTAATCTGACAATTAAGCGATAGGTCTAGTAGATGTAATTCCTGGTTATATAGTTGAAGAAAGTCTGAGGTAATGTTCACAGGAGTAATAACTCTATCAACAAATTAAAATGAAACAAACCACATGACAAACCCTTACAATCCTGAAAGTCTTTTAATGGGTTGGGAATCTTCAGTGGGTTTTTGTAATGTTTGTTTGTGATTCTTAAGCAAGATAGCTGTGGTGAAGTTAATTTGTGCTTCCAAAGAACAGACT